GACAGGATCTTCCACAGTCAGCAGTGAACGTATTTGTGGTACACCTGTAGTACAGGTCCTCCAGCATCTGAAGATCTTGACCCTGTCTCTCTCAATGGTGAAGCAAAAAATAAGAGACTTGTGTTTAGACAGAAGGGTGAGTAGGTCCAGGAAAAGTGTAGGGGAAGAAGAAGTCTCCTCACCTTCCCCTTCTCAGGATCCTCAACAAAATTAAAATCAAGCTCAAAGCCTTAAACAGTGGAGCAGGTCGAGGTCAGGGTGAGGTAGGGTTAAACTAGGACTAGAGTAATTAGGCTGTGATATGGACATGTTTATGGGACAGTTAAACTGTCTCTTAAATCACCTTAGCAAAGGCAGACTATCAGATCATACGTGCCTGTACTTGAGCTACTCACCTAGGCTCGCTTCAGAGACAAACAGGCTCTTCCCAGGCACTGCCAGGGACCAGCACAGATCACCTGCAGACCAGTCAAGTCCTGAAAATGCCAGATTGTCCCCACTGATTCAAAAGGGAGTTGGGGGTGAGTGTCTCAGGAGTGGATGTCTGCCCTGGGGATGTCTAGACCCATCCCTCCTTCACCTGCCTGGGAGCAGCCCTCTTTTGACTCCAAGAACAACCCGACCTGTACTCCCTGCTCTGAACCTTCCATGTGGGGAGGACTTGCTGGATCAGCCCCAAAGTGTTATGTAAAATGGCTGTGATGTGTATATTTATGAATCATATACATTAATTACATAATAGTCACCCATGCTGCCCATCCCACATGCACTTTGGTTATGCATAGGACACAAAGACTGAGTGCATTCACTATGAATCATGCAATAAGACTACATCCCTCAGGCAAACTCTCTCTAAAATGACCCTTTTCTTATATTCCCATGGCTTCCACTACAATATTATTTAATTAAGACTATTACTATGCTGGGCCACCAACTTTCACTGTCTTCTGGGGAAGTCTGAACAGACAGACATTTTTAAAAAATATGGGGAATCCTGCTCTTTTTATGATTGGAACCTTAAGGTAAGGCAATTTCATGGCCTCATTAACTTGTTTCTTTATTCTTGATATGAACATGAAACTTCTGGACCACAAAAATCATTGGCTCAGAAGTTGCATGAGTAATGCCAGATAATCTTTTTTATGCTTTGTTTTTCAGCTAATGCTGTTGAATACTGCCCAGATACCTGGGATATATAATTGATTAGTTGTAGGTGCAAACAGAGCACTGACCCCCAGTTGGAGAATATAGATGAACACTTGCATTTTGGCAGCCATGGGCACACATGTGCACGTGCCTGCAGCACATATGCAAACCTGCCAGTAGTGCAAAGAAACCATCCGAGACACTGACACGACCAGTTCAGCTGCATTGCAGCAGCTGCCTGAGGAGCTCCTCGGGGTTGCAGCTTGCTGCCCTTTTCTCCTCTCCCATGGGATGAGGAACTGCATGCACTGCTATGGCAGTGTCCCACCACATCCTGTCCTGCAGCCTCAAACCTCTTCTGACACTCAGCCTAATCTGGGGTTGAAACACAGGAAACCTCATCACCAAAATTAATGGAATCCTTACAGTTGGAAAACACCATTGTGTCAAACCCAGCATCACCATGTTCAACATTAAACCATGTCCCTAAGGGCCACAGCCATGTGCCTTTTGAACACTTCCAAGGACTGTGACTCCACCACTGCCTTGGGCAGCCTGTTCCAATGCCTTACCACCATTTCAGTAAAGAATTTTTTTCCTAATATCCAATCTAAATCTCCTCTGGTGCAACTTGAGGCATTTCCCTTCATCCTATCACTTGCTACTTGGGAGCAGAGCCCAGTCCCACCTGGCTGTCTCCTCCTGTCAGGAAGTTGTAAGGAGTGAGAAGGTCCCTCCTGAGCCTCCTTTACCTCAGACTGAGCCTCTTTCCCAGCTTCCTCAGCTGCTCCTCATCAGACCTGTGCTCCAGACCCTTCCCCAGCTCCATTCCCTTCTCTGGACACGCTCCAGCCCCTCAATGTCTTTCTTGTTATGAGAGTCCCGAAAATGAGCAGAGGATTCAATGTGTGGCTCACCAGTGCCCAGCACAGGGAGATGGTCCATGTCCTGGTCCTGCTGTCACGCCACTGCTGATACAGGCCAGGTGCCTTTGGCCTTCTTGTCCACCTGGGCACACTGCTGGCTCATGTATCCATCCCAAGATGGGGAACAGCACCACCACTTTGGCCATAGGATGAGTGTGGTTTTGGTCAAAGGAAAATGATTAAAAGTAGCTCCTGAGGGCTGCCACTAACAATAAAACCAGGAGCCACTTGTGATTTATTGGATGTTAATATTTTCAACATCTGGGTGAGAACAACTTTAGCAGATGTCCAGGTAAAGCCACGGAGGCTTGTGGAAAGGCTGGGTGATATGAGATTAGGGCAGATAGGAAGCTCTGTGCTTGTAGGTGTGACAGCCAAGGCTAAGGGGGAGGTTTTACTCATTTTTCCTCCTGCATGATGTTAAGCAACAGGCAGTAAATATGGCATTCATTAAAATGACCTTGTATACTTTTAACAGCCTCGATAATCAGATTTCTGCCACTGTATCGGAAAGCGAGTTTTTTATTCAAGGCCTTATAAAACTCTAATTTCTCCCTCATGCTTTAAAAATGCCTGCAGTTTTCTAAGGAATTTAGTGTTTCTTTGCAGTAATTTTCTACCCTCTTCAAAGTTCTGTTCTCTTCCTAAATATGCATTAAGTAACTGAGTGGTGATTTGCATTTCTTTCAGTATGAGGGATAAACTTCTTGCTGTACGGGGCACCTTAAAACTTGCATTTCTTTCTCTCTTTAGATATAGGAGGTGTTGGATGCTGCCCTCCCTCCCTGTGGCACTGCCAGTGAAACCCTTGAGAGGCACTGTCAGGTTTGCAGCCAAGTCTGCAATGTGCCTGCTTGCATCCTGAGCATCTGAGTGAGTCCTTCAGCCAGGAATGCCTCTCTCTAGTACTGAGTAGAGCATTTCTATTCTGAATTTCCATTTCTGTCAGAAAACACTGCACACAACCTCTGGCACTTGGGGAAGATCAAAGTCCCCTTTTTTGACTCTTGAATCTAACTGGAAGCAAGATCCCTACGCTGGGAAATGGTCAGGGCATTGCGGAGGCATCGCTCGAGCCCTGGAAAGATGAAGGACAAGAAGCGCGAAGGCAACTGGCCAGAGCACGGCAAGAAAGTTCAGTCCACGGCCACACAACGTACACAGCCAGGTCTTTTAGTCACTCTCTGCCTGTGCCCACATGCCAGGCGCTCACGTATGAATACACACAGACAAGCAAGGGCTGCAGGGCAAGCATGCGGCGTGCAGCTGCCAGGTCCCAGCTGAGCCTCTCCTGCAGGTATTGCCGCGGGCACGATTGCAAAAATAACCCATTCGACAACACAGACCATCAGGAGGCTCTGACTCAAAGGGAGCCTGTTTTGGGCCAAACAAAGCATTTCCTCAGCATCAAGCCGATCGAGTTTTTTGACCCAAGTCATGGTGTTTCATGGAGAGCCCGCAGGAACCTGCTCCAAAACCCTCCAGCCCTCGGCCCACATGGAGATCTTTGGCATCTCTGTGCAGGCAGAGTGCACTAGGGCTGCAGAGGGGTTTGCAGCTGGCTGTTTGAGAAACAAAGCTTCCCTCCTCCAAGATGAAAGAAATCAAGGAGTCTATGCTAATCAAATCCTCCACGCCTGCTGGCTGCAGTTCAGCTTGTCAGGGATGCAGCTCAGTGGAGTGATCAGCATTTCCAGTGCTATGAGCTTGGTGGAAGGGGAAAACACAACAGCAAGAAATTCACCTGGCTAGGAATCAAACAGGTGTATGGCAGCAGCATCCAAGATTATAATAATATCTTGCAAACATGCAAAAAATAGATGTAATAAGACTGATTCTTTGGTTTTCATTAATGAATCATAAAGGCTCTCTTTACATTACACATGCTTTTTTGGCATACGCTGCTAATATTTCCACACTTGCAAGGTTGGAGTTTTAAGACTGAGCCTCCCTCCCCTAAGGTTTCTAATTTTTGGCAAGAGGTACAAGGTGACTGTGTGCCATGACAGGCTCTTTCTTACTTTGGGGCAATCAGATTACTTTACACAGATGGTTTTATCACTGAGACCATTAGAGGTGAATTGTGCAATATATAAATGTGCATTTGTTTGGTAAAAAAAGTCTCAGTTCCTCACTACTGTTTTCTGTGTTCCTAAATGTATTTCCTCTCTCCTGCATCATTCCAAAGCACAATTTGTCCAATCTTTACCTTTAAGTGACTCAGCTTGTTTCTGATAGGCTTCTTGAGTACATATTAACTAAGGAAACAGTCTTTCTTGAGTTACTGGATTGAAATACAGGAGAATGAACCTCAGCCATAACTACTGAAGAAATAAAGGCATGTATCTGTCAGGATGCCTAACAACACACATACCACAAAGGTAAAGCACCAAAAAATAGAGAGCATAACAATTACTTCAAAACACAGAATCACAGAATGGATGGGTTGGAAGGGACCTTAAGATCATCTTGTTCCAACCCCCCTGCCATGTGCAGGGACACCTTCTACTAGACCAAGTTGCTCCGAGCCCCATCCAACCTGGCCTTGAACACTTCCAGGGATGGGGCAGCCACAGCTTTTCTCGAAAACCTGTGCCAGTACCTAATTACATGCAAGTAATTTTTGTAGGGGAAATAAGGAAAAAAAAAAAAAAAAAAAAAAAGAGAGCATTTGTTCAAAGAATCAGGTTCACAATTTAAAAATAATCTGATCCGAAATGGACCTAAAGTTATTCGAGAGAGACATGCTCAGAGCAACATAGCAGCTCTTCCACATTCGAAAAAAAAAAGGGATTTTGAATCCTGCCTGCCATGCAGGAACCCTGGTACCACTGCTGAGGTTTGCTCTCCTTGCCAAGGTTTGTCTGAGGCCACGGAGGCAGCCGCTGCCAGTCCTGTTCCTCTCTGCATAAGTGTTTTAGGCAAAACAGAGTCTTTACCTGAGAGGCGTCTGGGCACATCGGTAATGGCTGGAAGTCCTGTGCCTCGAGTGGAGGACAGGGGAGTTGTGGAGTGAATGGACGGTGAAGTCATCTGGCTCAAGTAGGATGGGTAAGACTGGTCATAGGACCATGGCGGGGATGACTGCGCCTGCCTGGGGTCTAGGGGGAAAATAAAAACAAACAAAAAAAAAAAAAAAAGAGAAATTTTTTTTTTAAAAGGAAGAAAAATTTTAGGGTATCAACAGCCTAATTGAAAGAAGTGGGATTACTGAACATACACACATCAGTACTATGAAGACTGAGAATGTAATGAAACACAACTTGCTCCTCAACACTCAGCCCTTTCAAGTCTTGGTCTGTGCTCTTCCCTCCCCAGAACAATCTCTGTGGGAAATGAACAGACCAGAGAGCAGAGTTTTAAAAGGTCTAGAAGCTGGGATGCAAATTCCCGGTGTCTCTCTTCCAACATGTTATACCAAGAGTTGCCAGTCCTCCAGGAATCAGAAAGAGAAGCAGACAAGAATGAGCCCCAGGTCTGATCTTAGGAAGTGGACTTCAAGGAATCATGGAGTCATTACAGTTGGAAAAGACCTCTGAGACCACTGAGTGGTCCTGCCAGGTCCACCGCTAAACCATGTCCCTAAGCATCACAGCTACAAGTTTTTTAAACACTTCCAGGGATGGTGACTCCACCACATTCCTGGGCAGCCTGTTCCAAAGCCTGAGCAACCTTTGAGTGAAGAAAATTTTTATAAAATTCAATCTAAATCTCCTCTGGCACAACCTAAGGCCGTTTCCTTCAGAGGTGGGCAGACTCTACAGTCAGCACTTGGCAAACCTGTCAAGCTGTTATCCAGTTCAAACATCACACAATAGTGTTTTCAGTGCTGAAAAGTGTTTTCAGTGCTCCTTTCTACCCAAGGAGAAAAATGTCATTAATCTTATCAGCATTCATAAAAAAAATGTCACATTTGGATGCTGGCCCAATTACTTACAATACCTTCAATTACAAAATATGAAAACAAATGGTTTGGGATGACTATCGGAAGCTAATGATACCTGCTGATATATTTGCAACAGCTCACTATGGAGGAAATTATCTTTAGGATAAACAAAGATCAATTTTTGCTGAAGCATTGGTAGAAGGAGACCTAGTCTTACTCACTTTGTATTTATAAATCATTTGCTCTCAGTCAATACCTGATTATAAAGATATCACTGAATAACTCATAAATGATGCTTTTTATTTCCTTACATCGAAGCACTTTCAACCCCAAAGTTTGTTTGGGACACTGCATAATAAACAGAAAACTATCTCTGGACTAGCTCACAAAAATTGTAGCAAATCCCTTCAAATCCTGCCCTCTATTTTCAGGGAAGCACATCAAGTATACTCGATTTGGAGAACCTGCTCTATCAGAACACTGTGCTAAAGCCCTGCTTTGCAGACAGCAATGTGACAGCCACATGGCATAAGCAAAGGCTCTTTTTCAGGAAATTCAACTTTTTTTTTTCTTTTTTAAACTCCTTTCCCTGCTCTTCCACACAGCAAAACCTTGTAGTTTCAGCTACTTCTTGTTTATTATTTCTCTTCAGACATGATTTATTTGAAGAAATGTCTGGAAAGCAGATACTTCCTTGAAGCAAAATAACTATATAGATATATATATTAAAAAAACACATTCCAATTTAATTTTAAGAGGATTTTCCTGGAGTTTGCCATTTATATTAGAGCTGAGTAATATAAATGGTTAACATAAACTTCTCAGAAATCTGAAGGACACTTGATCATTAAATGTAATGAACTTCTTTGTTTTAACAATTTCAAGGCCAGGGTTGTATAGATTGGCATAGGTTCAAATCTGACTGACTGCTCATTGTTACATCTGATATTGACATATTTCTCTGCCTCATTCCACTACGATAATTCACCATACAGTCAATGGTAAATGATCTTTGAATGGGAACAGAAAGCCTAAGCTTGCTGGAAAAACAATCTTAAAATTAATGGTGTGTTAGGAGCACAATCTCAAATCCAAGATCCTTCAAACTCCAAGACCTTTTCAATCTCTGCTTCTGAATTGAAAACAGGGCCCCTAAACTTTTTGGCTTACGTCAGCTTCAATGCTAGGAGGAAATAACACAGCAGGTAAAGAACAGGAAAAAAGTGATAGTAGAGGATGTTTTTACATCATTTTGGTCTAAGATGGTGGAAAGCTCAGAAAAAGAGGCACCTTTCTGGAGGCTCATGCCACTCCTGGTAGTGTAATCCTCATGGCACAAGAACTTCTTGAGCATCTCTGGCACTCTCATCACTTTGAACACCCATGCTAGACTTGGTTTTATACTTAACACCCTTAATCTAGCAACTATGAATGTCTGTGTGGACACAAGAATGGCAAATAGCAAAAAGTGGTCTTTGAAGGCACATGTGGTATTTCAAAACAGTATCACATACTGCACTGTCAGAAGCAGGATTTAGGGTTGGATGGACCACCATTTGACCCCAAAACATATCATATATTCTTTCAACATCTACCTAAATACATAAGTCTTCCCAGGGAATAGGAAATAATGAAGAGGAAAATCTTTAACCAAATTGAACATTAGATGATTCATCAGAGCTCAGTGACTGAGGAGGAGGTCACAGTACCTCAGGCCAGAGGGTTACTGCGATTCCTCCACACCAAGGCATGGCTGAGGTCATGGTCGAGGCAGGGTGGGAAATATTACCCTGGGGATGACTGATTCAAGGTATCTGTGACCCATTAGGAAACCAGAAAGTGAAAATACAAGTTTCACCAGATCCCAGAGCAAATGCCCTAAAGTCAGCCCTTGCTGTCTGATGGCAGTCAAGGTTTGCATGGACGTGAGAGAATAGAGTGGTGAAACTCTGTCGCCTTGCCAAGTCAAAGGTGACCTGTGAGCCCACAGGGCAAACATCACTGCTCAGCAGCATTGCCCAATTCACAGTGAAAAATGCCACGAGGCAGAGCCCAAAGCTTCCCCAGACAGTCCCTGAAGGTGGGCACGCAGCTCATGTGGTACCTTCTGCTTCACATGGAGATGGTCCTTGCAATGGTGCTGGAGCACTGACTTTGGCCACTGAGGCCCACCAGACCATCTCTTCTGGTCCCACACACCATCAAACCTCCTGGGGGAAGGAGGGTGCTGGGGGAACCACAGGGATGTGCCAGCTGCCACAACAGCACTTTCAGGGCAGATCCACACAGATGCTTCTGAAGCAAACACGAGGCCCTTCAGAGGGTCACCTCCTCCTTGCTCTGGCCCAGAAGGGGTAGGATGACTATTTAACACACACTGTCGGGGAAGAAGCTGAGAGGTGATTTGTGAGAGGTTTTCCTTGGTCTCCACAGGCCAGCTTCCCTACTGCTTCTGGCTGTTGGGCTCCCACGTGTCCGAGGATCCCTGCTAGCCAGGGACTTTGCACCATCACCCAAAGCACCACATGCTCTGCAGGCACAGCACATCTTCCCATCACAAAAAAGCCCAGAACAGATGAGAAACCTTAAAGCTCTGAGTGCATGTGGATTCCTCCCTAAAGGAATCCCTCCAAAACAAGGAAAAATACTTAATATAAAAATAAAATTAGCTGCCCAGGAGAAAACCACCCTTATTTCCATATGGCAGCCATGGGGAAAGGCTAACAGAGCATTCAACAACAGAGAAGGAGTCAGAGGGCCACTCTGAGCTGGCATTTACACTCGAAAACTTTGGAGTGATTACTAAGAGCAGTCCTCCTTTTGTAAACATTTCTGTTATGCCTGCGTGGGTGTGAGGGGAAGTGCAGCTCTCAGCGTATTCCTTCACAGCAGGGCATATTGTGGGTATGCTGAGACAGCCTGGGCACAGTTCAGCTGAAACAAATCAGTGGGGCGAGGCCTCAACTAATGTGCAAACAGCTCCATCCTGTTTGCGCTTCCAGGTGAACCTCCACAAAGCAGGAAATATTGCATATTATTTTGTGTCTTGGTTTTGCTGTCACCATTTATAGTCATGGGACATACATGGGGTTCTTGACCTTTGTTGTCTCTGACTGACTGCATTAAATGGATGGTGGATATTGATGCTTAATGGAAAATAAGTCTTTAAAAATTAGTCCAAGAGTAGATGCACCACATAAAACTAAAATTATAAAGGAAAGAATGAAAAAACCCATCCAGTGACCCATTCTCCCACCAGTGACATTGGCTTTCCAAGATCACAACTTCTCTTCTTCCAACAGAAATCAACATAGGATCATACAACAGTTTGGATTGGAAGGAACCTTAAGATCATCTAGTTCCAACCCCCCTGACATGGGGAGGGACACCTTCCATATTCTGAAGTGTCAATGGACAGAAGCAAAAATCTGCAAATATCCCTGAAGAACAACTTTTTCCACTACTTTGGCATTGGATTGTGAAGCATACTGATTTTCTATAGGGGAAAAAACCCCCAACAATTCCCCCTTTTCCAAGCTGAGTTACATGACCAGACCATGATCACAGGCTGGCAACTCCTTGGTGTACTGTCTCTAATACCCAGACATCACATGCATCATACTGTCTTTTAAACCCAGCCATCAGCTCCAGCTCTGGCTAGTGCTAGTGGATTAGTGCTAGTGCCAATAGTAAAAAACAAGCTGTCTGGAGCTATCTTTGGTAAACAGAGCAAATATCCTCGCTTCTGATCTTAACAAAGCCAAGATGACTTTCTGCATGAGTAACCCAACTATTGTTGTAACACCAACGCCCTCAGCAAAACAACAACAGCAAAATGCAACCTTCTTCCCTTCTCTAACTCTTTTTTATGCATCCTTAAAAGCCCAGGGCTTCGTCTGTATTGCCCAGTTCAATCAACAAAGTCAAATCCAGTGGAATTACACCCCAATGTACAGAAATGTAATTGAGACCAGATTTTGGCCTGAAGAACCTCTAAATCCATTTCTCCTCTCACCCCTCCAAGAGTCACATTTTTGAAATGAAAAAAAAAGATAAACTCAATGAATCATGCCAGTGGGCAACGAAGTTTTAAAAGAGGGTAGAGGGAAATAAAAGACAAAGGAATAATAGGAGGGGGGGCAAGCATTATGAAATGGAGGTCCACAATGGCAACTTGCCAGTCAACCAGAGGATGCAATCAATTTGCATAAAATGCAGCAGGCTGCAGATTCAGTTTGCACTGTCCCTGAAATCAGTCCCTGTTTGTCAGTGAAGATGTATCCCCTCACTACCTTCCTGTTAAGCTGGCTCTGGAGACTTTAAATCTGCTTAAAAAACAATAAGAAATGGAAGCATAACATCCCTGAAGTGCATGGAGAAGGGGAAGAGAAAAAGGGAAGAAAGTGAAGGTTTCACAGGACTTGCCTTTGAGGGCTGTTATTTCAGTGATGAAAGTCAGAGGTTGCTATAGATCAGCCAGTGCCACAGTGGTGATGGAGCATGAAACCTCACTTAACTCCCACTTTGCTGTCCCCACAGCCCAGCCGATGGGATCCTCACACCGACCACATTCCTGCCATTACACCTGTGGCTTTTCCTGGCCTACAGAAGCTAATCCTCACCAGTTGCATCTTAAAAAAAACAAGTTTTCCTCGTCTCATACTGGAACACTGATGCAACAGCTCAGTGTCTGAACGGGAATGTAATCGGATACGTGAACAAGTTGCATGAGCCCATTAGGGAAAGGGGAAAAAAATAAAAAAAGCAAATATACCAGTGAACAAATGTGAATGGACAGGATTCCTGATTTACGGGCAGCAAGCAGCGTTCAAATTGGATCTGCACTGCCTCAGCAAAGGCAGCTGCTTATTGGACCATTTGTTTTTTAATCACCCTTCGATGTAGCTTTTGCTGAATCCTACTTAAAATGCCATGTTGAATAAGGGCAACTCTGTACCTTGTCCTGCCACAGCCCAGTCCTGTGGTAGGTTAAGGACTGTGCTGCGATTTGTACAACCTGTACTCTGATACTCCAGGAAAATAAACACAACCTAGACAGAGAAAAGAAATATAAGAGTGAACCCTAAAGTGCTGAGTTCTTTCAGACTCAGGTGTGGGTCAGCCAGACTTTAAATAATATGTCTGTTTAATCATGCAATAGCTATGCAAGGCCTCAAGCGGAATGAAGCAAAATGTGCTTACTAGCAATAATATGGATTTTTTGTAGGAAACCAGTATTTACTGTTCCAGTTATTAGAAATTTATTATTTTCCCTAAATAGCAGCTAAGTAAAGAGATAATGAAACCATGGTATTTCTAAAGGAATGCTTGGTTAATTCCAGTAAAGGTAATTTAAAAATCCTGTTTTTCAGACAGAAGGGTTTATTCCTCTTTTAACATACACTCAAGGCAGTGCTTATATTAAGAAGCCAGTGGCATTCTGAGTATTCCACTACAACAGGGAAACTGGTGTTGAAGGACAGCCCAAGCACCTCATTCCCTACCACCACACCAAGCAGGGGGATGTTCAGCAATTTCCCACTCAACACCCGACCAAAGGTTGCCTCATCCAGGGCATCACCTTTATCTCTCCTTGACATGCTTTGTGTAGCAAAGAGTACCCATCCATCCCACAAGAAAGATCCTAGAACTGGGACTGTCTGCAAAAAAACATCCCAGCACTTAGGTGGAACATCAGAGCATGTTGAGCTTTACAGATTACAATCAAGGTCCCAAAGAGCACCCAAAAGCCTAGTGAAAAGCCAGTGTAATTCCAAGAGCTTGCACACACATAACATGCTCACACCAATCACCTAATTGAATGGGATGACCAAGGAAATGGAGAGCTGGCTGTTGGACTTTTCTGAGGGTGGGAAACAACATCAGAAATACTGTATCAGATCACTTATTCACTACAGAGTCCTCACATTTATGGGGGATATCAGAGCATCTTGGGATTCTAATGTATCCCACAACCTTGAATTTATCCAACAATAAAAGCACATAATCCACAAAAGGTGGGAAATCCAGCCTGCATCCCTCAGCTCACTTCTGTCTTCCCTACCAGCACTGCAGCTTCCCACTCTCGATGAAGTCTCAGCTGGTGCTGCCTTAAATTTGCAAAGAAGGCAGGGAATGCCACACAACTTTGCTTCCAGTCAGGCTTATTGAAGCTCATCTGAAGCTTTCATCTCCCAGATCTGTAAATGCTGCTGCTGCCTCATAACGAGGAAGAGAAGTAGTCTATTAATCAAAGCCAGCAGAACATTTTCTACAGGAGGCATTTATGTGAAGGAGAGCAGCATATGAGGTTACACTTAGTTAGGAAGAAAATTACAAGGGGATCTCAGTTCTTGTGCTTCAGGGCATAAGCTGATCACCAGATGGGGTCAGGAAGAATTTCACCCTCTTTCGTTCCTAGATATAGTGTTGCACAATAGGTAAACTATGGAGGCACAAGGAAGAAGGAAAAAAACTGCTTATAGCCTGGATTTCCCCCCTGCTTTCTTGGGAACTATGTCTACAAACATTGCCAGACAGAAGACTTGGTTAGAAAAAAATATTGTGTTTTACTTCACCAGTTCTTACCCAGAAAACCATATGCACAAGAGTCCTGACTTCACATGTCCAATGAACAAAACATGAAGCCTAGCCAAAAAAAACCTGCTCTGGGAAGCTGGGGGGCAGCAGGTACCATGTAATGGGTATAATCAACATATTTAATATATTATAAATATTTTATAGCAGTTAAAGTTAGACTTCTAGATCTGGGAGAACTTTGCCACAGCTCATGGGAACGATTTTTTTGTTGCAATTCCTTGAGTGCTTTGGGTTCAAATTAACTCACTTTTCTTTCTTACTGCAAATTAATAAACCAGTTGCACTTAAAAAAAAGAAGGAAAAGAGAGAAGAAGAAAGCCACAACACTTTGTTAAAACCACTGAGTTTCAGCTGGTATCATGTCAAAACCACTTGAAACATGAAACTAGAAATCTTCCTAGGTTGACTCAAAGACAATGTCTATACTAGGAGTGCTTTACCAGGAAAGGAATGCTGGTGTAAAATGCTGGCAAAGGACTCTGCTGTGGATGGAACTGTAGCAGCAAAAGTGAGTATTAAATCAGTCTAGGGAATTGAGCCAAGAGCTTTGTTGACAGACTTGCATCCAGGTGAAGTTCTCCAACAATTCTAGCAATTGGTCAGGGGTAACACCTCTTTACATCCTGGATAGACACAAACATGTCAGCACAAATTTAGAATCTAGAAATGCCCAGCATTAGATAGAAATTGCTTTGAATCTCTTTTGAAAAATTTAACCAGCTCTGACATTAGAAAAAACAACATTGGTTTATTTTGTAGGCTTCACAGTTTTGCTGCAAACTTCTGGCATAGCTGCAGTTAAACATCTTATTTCAGCCTTCTAATCTGTGACACATGGTGGGTGCTTTATGATTTCTCTCAGCACAATGAAATCTGTCTCGCAGCATGCAATCATAAATGTTGCATACAACCCTCACGAGCAACCTTTGGAGATTTCTCCATAACCCAGTTCATTTATTGTAACCGTGGTCAGCACTGGTGGTGGAAGGAAACCACCATGTGAGAAGGTTGTATTATTATTCTGATGAAAAGACCATTAAGTGCTGGCTGCTTCCCTTAACATGACTGCAAAGCAACAAGGCTGAATAAAAATGTTCATTCTATTGTACACTAAAGGTACTATTGCAAGATGGAGAAAGCAGAGCAGAGCAACGTGGCAGTTAGAATTTCACCAGATCCCTACTCAAATGACCTGGATTGACTATTTTAGATTTATGGCAAAAATATATTAAAAAAATTTACATTTTCAGCTTCAAGCACTACAGAAAAATCCACTTCCCACCTAGCTTTGCTTGGAGAACATCCCCCACTCTGTAACAGCCTCTTTGACTGCAGCTGAGACACAAATATCCATAAGCAATTACTACCAATGCCTGTGCAAGTCAAACCTATGGTTCTGTCTCTTACCTGTAATCTGACTCTGTCCTTGTGGATTAAAAGGACTTGGTGCAGAGTTCAGAGAGGGCCGTGGGCTCTGGGTCGGGACCCCTACTCTCATACTGGGATGAGGAATGCGCCCTAAATCACTGAGGCGCTCAGAGAACAAACTAGGTTTAGAGTCATCAAGCTTCTGTCTGTGCCCTGGAAACAGCAAATCATAAAATAAAAGTGTTAATAACAAGATTTAGTAATTTAACACACCCCCAAAAAAACCCCCAAAATGGTCTCTAAGGACCTGTTACTAGATTTAATGGATTTACAGGTATCTCAGCTACCCCCAATAACACAGAAACATTGTGAAGGGGTTGTGTTTTGGACATGGTTGTGCTGGTGAAAGTCTTATCAAGCACAGTTGTGCCCATACACATGTAACATATTAGAATTTGGATCAAAATAAGCACTTATCAGGACACCCACACAAGGTCTTTTTTTTTTTTTTTTTTTTTTTTTTTTTTTTTTTTAACTTTTCTTTTCTTTTCTCCTTTAACTACCCAAGGTAGTTAAAGAGTCAAACTTTCCCTTCCAAAAGCAAGCCTCATATGTACCTACAACTTATCAACTGGGACAATTACTCCATGCCTGGTTTAGATGTTGTGGATTTTTGCTAAGTAAAGGCAAGCTTTTCTTCTCCCCTTGTTTTTTTTCTTTCTTTAACTCTGTTATAGTTAGTCATTAGCTTTCATTCCTCTGGGGAATTTTCCAAAAAGTAATAAGTCCCTGTCAGTTGAGAAGAGCAGTATCCAAGGAAAACCTCCAAAGCTGCTGGCCAGGACTAGACCCTACACATCCTTGTATGGTCAGCCTTCCTCAGTGCTCCTACTGCACTCACCCAAAACAGCCAACTGCCCCTGGATATATTCGCAACACTCATTTAGGGGTGTTTTGCTGACAAAATATGAAGGGGGAAAATGGCAAAAACACTGGGATGCCCCCAGTGGTCCTGCTCATTGAGATGTTTCAAGAGTAAGGGCTTGGCTTCTCTAATGGTTGTATTTTTGCTCCTAGGTTTAATTTCTTTCCAAAGGATGCTCCTTGTCCAATGGTGCCTTTGAATGTGAGGTGCAGAAGGCGTTATTTCTATCATTCAGCACAGGGAGAAAAAGGCATGCGTAGAGATTAAGGACAGGACTAATTTTACTTAACTTCAGCCATTCATAAATCAGGCATCTAGTCTAAACTCTTCTAATGTAGACTTCCTCTTCGGTTAATGGAAAGAAATAGCTACTTCCAGAGGGCAATTCATCTCATTTGTCTCTGACACTCGCTTTAAAACAGCATGATTCACCTCCTGAATTTGCTTTCTCTTCCTTCTCTGATCAGAGAGGGAGCACACATGACTGGTTTAATTAGACACTCTCGCCATTAGTCAATGTTAAATGGAATGAAGCCTACCCTAAGTTACAGATCAAGGTCACGTAAAAATCCTCCGGCAGAGCTGAAAGGGGGGCCCAGACTCCTTGATTTCAACCCAGAACTATACCTGCCTCCATCCCTATAAGCAGTGCCGGGGCCCTGGCACAAGCAATAATTGGGGGGGATATTTTAACACTTATAACAACAGGAAGGGTCTCTGGTATAGTTTGGGCTTGAACCCTTCCAAATAATCAGTGGCTTGAGATAATCCGTGTTGTCCCTCAGCAGTATGAACACAACCATTTCTCTAGAGTCTACAAGGGTTCAGCTCTGGAGACATGGGAAGATCGTCCCATCAGTCTTTGGGCCATAGAACCAATTCCAATAGTGTTTAATTTATTTTAGAAGCAGAAATGAGGCCACTGAATCTTGAGATTGAACTATCAGGATACCACTGCTAAAAAAAATGCTTTTTGATAGTAATTCTCACCACTTCTGAGTACATGGATTCACACTATCTAATTGGTACCACAGTGCCAACAAGACACATAGGCAATGCAATATCCAAATGAAATCAATCCAGACTGGATTCAGAGAAATCACAGCTCTAGACAGAGAAGGATTCAGGTTGGGAGATGAGGGGAAACTTGATGGGATTTAACTTTGGAGAAGCTTCTCTAGCAATTTTAAAAAATTAATTAGTTGACCCATAATTTGGTACTTTGAAGTCTGTATTTTCTCCCCCATAATGACTCAGTCTAAAAGCATGGAGTAGGCGGGAGCCTTCTCCTTAGGGAGAAAGTGCTTCTCCATGTTAGAGCTGCCATGGGTGCCTACTCCTCTCTTCAGAAAGTATCAATCATTTTAAATAGGGAATGATTTTTGGGCTTGTAAAAACTCCATAATAGCAGCTTAATTAACAGGGTCACATCCAAGCTCTATTCTTCAGCATTATATTCTCAATCCATTTAAACAAAGATTTGTGCAAGTTCGGTGCTGCTAAATCTGAAGAAATTACTTTCAAATACACATCCAATCTCTTGGGATTTCTCCCTCTTCTTTTCCTCCACAATTTTTATGCATTTTCTTTTCCTTTCGCTAGTCATATTTTCCACTATGTTTTCTAAAGATATCTCCTTCCCCTTCCTTTTTCTCTTCTGCTCATTCTTGATCATGCTTTGGCAAATTCAGCAACCTGGGATGGTGGAAGGTGTCCCTGCCCATGGCAGGGGTTTGGAATGAGATGAACTTTAAGTCCTCTTTCAACCTAAATCATTCTGAGATTTTATAAAATTCAAGAGGTTTCAAAGTAAGACAAATGTGATCAGTCCATCTCTGGTCTCACACATGAGAGCTCATTTTAGCTGTGAATGAATTCACTCCCAAAGTGAATTTTATTTAGAACTTCTGTAGAAAAAAACCCCTGTGCTATATTCATGTAGTGACCTTTTAACTAAAGAACCACTAACAAACTGGTGCATAATCTTTCAATTGTCCTCAGGTAACTCAATAAATAACTTATTACACAGGTCACCACCACTCCTGCAATAACCTGTGCCAGATAACCCTCAACCTTGTTTTCATCACATTTTGTTTGGTCATACATAGCTTTGTTAGAAGAGAGTTTATATTTAATTATGTGTATTATAGCAGAGATCTGGATAACAGAGCACTTTAGGATAGGCAGGGGAAAAAAAAAATAAAAGAAGAGAGGGAAAAAAAGAAGGAGCATACAGGAAGAAGAAAAAAGATTTCCACATCTGGTTGAATTGAAATGATGTATAGATGTGTGGGTTTGGGTGTTGCCACTTCCCCCCCACCCGCCCCAAAAAAAAAGGAAAAAAAAAAAAAGTAGGGAAGAGAGAGCTCTATGCACATCTGGAAGACCCCAGGCATCAATGGAACTGCAAGTCCCCAGAAACCAGCAAGGGGCCAAAGGCAGACTTGCCTTCCCCTTCTGGACATTAAAATTTAGGGTTGTAACACGGAGTCATGTTGTGACAAAGGGATCCACAGAAGGAGCCACAGTCCCTGAATGAAATATCCCAGGGAGACAAGATGACATTGCATCTTTGCACATTATGGGTTACTCTGCTTTGATAAAGGCTGGGACGTGCTCACACTGAAAGCAAGCAGGAAACTCAACAAAACCTTTGTATTCAGGAGGTGCTCACAAAGGCGTGTGGGCAATTTAAATAAATGTCCTGCCTTGATTTCTGTGCAGGAAAAAAAAAAGTCCTGTTGAGTATGGAGGAGCCATGAGGTATGGGCTGAAAACACTCTAAAAAGACCTTCTGAGTAGCACATAAGCAGCAGGAATGAAATATGTGATACATGTTTAAAACTCATTCCACAAGCTGCTTTTCATCTCTCATTGATATATGTGTCCGTTGACAGAGAAATTCCTGATCCCAGGGGAGTGTGCTAAGAAAAGCTGTATTCCTTGGTCTCAGTAGTGAGGCGTAATTTTATTTCAGGAAAAAAGATTAGGGTAGCAAGTGTGGATAGCTGAGGGAGAATCCATGATCTGCTGCAGCAGTGAGTACATCAAAAAGCAATATAAAAGCTATGTGAAGAATAGAATAAAATAGTGTTACAGCTACCCCAATGCCTGCAACACTTCATTTAGTGCCTGTTGCTCTGTTGCAAAGATGAATTTGTAGAATGGATTGGGCTTGGAGGGGAAAAAATGCTTGTGGACTTAAGCAGTCTTGGATGTGAAATATCATCAAAAATAAATGGAAGCTGACCCATGAGTCTTTGATTAAGGATGGGACCCAGCGGCCACTGGAAAAGATCAGGTCACCAGTGAGGAGAAGGAAAAGAGATGAGAAAAACTGAGAGTTCATACTCAAGAGCTAAACAAGCTGTTCTGATTTGTCTGCTGGCACAGTACAAAACACCCTGGATATCAGAAATCCAGTGTTTGCTCCAAAATAACAAGAAATATTCTGGTCTTTCATCACTACTCAGCTGTTTCAAGCCAAACACCAACCTGAGTATAAATTTCTGGAGACAGAAACATTGTCATTATTCCTCTCCACGGCCAATTTTGTCCATTTTACATGACTCAAACCAGTACTGAGAGTGCTATAAGGTCAGTGAAAACTGCAGCCAGCCAGTCAGTGCCTGTGCTGCTGCTTCTGCTCGCCAGCCCAGCCCAGCCTCAGAACATGTTCGTGTGGCCCATGGAAGATGATGTTCAATTATCACATCCCAGGCATGGCAGAAGATGTGAGGAGTCTTCATCTCCAGCTTAATCATTTCAGTTTAAAATAAGCAACGGACTGTCTTCCAGATCAAAGCAAGGCAATCTCGGGTCTGCTGGATGTGGTAACTGGAAAGGGACGTGAGCTCGTCTCTCATCACTGAACTTCCACCACTCTGCTGGAGGAGGCAAGATGTAAATCGGTCTGTGCAAGAGGCTGACTTGCAGAATGTAAATGTGGTGTTGATGCTTGAAGATTTTTACCTCCTCAGGGAGGAGGGGTGTGCGTTTTTATCTTTCAGCTTGTGGGTGTGGAACTGAAAACTAATCAGATTATGCTACACGTGGCTTTGCCAGATGCTGACACTCAGGGACTCCCTTTCTTTGTACCGTGTACACCACCCACCAGCTTTTTTGTGTGGGTTTTTTTTTTTTCCCTGGTACCCAGGAGATCTGGTTACCAGATTTTCAGCAGATGCTTTTATCACTCTCCACTGGGCTAGCTATTTTCAGTCATTACCCAGTTCTATCTTCTTCTGCTTTTGCCTTAACAAGAAGTATTGTGAGAGTCAGGTGTCTC